CTGTCTCGTCACCAAAATGCAGGGCAAAATCATAATATAAAGATAGGAAACAGATGTTTTGAAAATGTGGCACAGTTCAGATATTTGGGAACAACGATAACAGATCGAAACCTGATTCAGGAGGAAATTAAGAGGCGATTGAACTCAGGTAATGCTTGCTAGCATTCAGTCCAGAACGTTTTGCCTTCTTGTCTGTTGTCCAAAAACATAAAAATTAGAATATAGGAAACTAATTTTGCCTGTGGTTCTGTATGGGTGTGAAACTTCATCTCTGACGCTAAGGGAGGATCATAGACTGAGGGTGTTCGAGAACAGCGTGTTGAGAATATTTGGACCGAAGAAGGATGAAGTGACAGGAGGTTGGAGAAAACTGCATAATGGGGAGCTTCATAATTTGTACTCTTTTCCAAGTATAATTAGAATTATCAAGTCAAGGAGGATGAGGTGGGCAGATCATGTAGCACGAATGGGGGAGACGAATGCATATAGGATATTGGTGGGAAAGCCAGAAGGAAAGAGACCACAGGGAAGACCAAGGCATAGGTGGGTGGAATGGATCTTAGAGAGATAGGATGAGATGTTATGGATTGGATAGATCTGGCTCAGGCTAGGGACCGGTGGAGGGCTCTTGTGAACACGGTAATGAACCTTCGGATTCCATAAAATGCTGGGAAATTCTTGAGTAGCTGCAGAATTGGCGGCTCCTCCAGAAGGGCTCAGCTCCATGAGTAAGTAAGTAAGTAAGTAAGTTTCAGCTACTTACTAATTTAGACTCTGATTGTGTCGGTACTGGCCGTTATATCATGGATGCCCATAGGGGCTAGGTCTCATGCATGTGGCATTTTAGAATTGTCATTACTCCTACAGATGGTGTATATCGTGTTCGATTTATATATCCTGTCTTGTGTTGGTTCTAATGTCTCAATATAGGGTCTATCTGTGTCACATAGCTGTGTTTAGAAATAGGACAGTGAATAATGTCCGGAAGTCAGTCATTGTATGGTCTAGTAGTATGAAGCTGACCAATATGCTGCCACATTGTTGTCAGCAGTCCATTGTATGTGGTTGCATACCTCCATGTTGGGACCTTACCTGCTTTATACTGCATTTGAAATGGACATAAGGGAACAAGTGAAAAATAAGGGAACAAGTGAAAAACAAAGAACATTTTTTGTATGTTTTTTGACTCTTTCAAATTCTGACAAGCTGAAGTTATTACGAATTTTAATGACATCTGTAACAGCCTATTATTTTGGCTGTAACAAGCGGCAGCAAGCTTCAACTTATCTGGTGATGGGACTGGCAGTGAATGTGTTAATACACACATTGTTTCAGGAGTTAGATGTACTCCTTGTTTAGATGGTCGGTTAGGAGTGAAACTTAGAGCTGCCCACTTACTCTAGGTGAATTGGTTTTGTGAGCTAAACAAAATTACTGTATACTTACAGATGACATACTACCTGCTAGTCTATGGAGCACTCTCTGTGGCATCTGTTCTGCTGTCCTTTTCATCAAACGGCATTGGTCAGTATGCAGGAGCAAGAGCTCGACAAATACTCCATGAGAGTATGTTACGCAATATTCTTCACTGTCCAGTGCGCTTCTTTGAATGTACTCCCATTGGACGTATCATTAACCGCTTTTCTGCTGACATGAGTGTCATTGATAAGGTACCTCAGAGTATGTTACTGTACTGTCAATACTGAAGTATTTAAAGGATGTTTTGTTTTATAGAAAGTATTATAAAAATAAAATTAAATCAGATCTCATCTAAGGAGAGGAGTATAAATTATGAAGTTCTCATTTTCTTAGGTGCTGTATACTCTGTCTTTTACCTTGAGACAGAAAATATATTCCCCTTAGTATTTTATTTTTAGATATTTTGCATGTCTATTCTCATGAAATAAAAGTTTAGGTTCTGTGGACATGCAAACATGTCTAAAATCACAGCCTTGTTTGGTTTACCTACACTTTTTTCTCTGGTAAATAAGTATTTACAAGACTCTGAACTCAGTAGTAATAATAATTTCACTTATTTTTAACTCTAGATGCTGTGATGAAAGTAGTTAAAATCAGAAGTTTTGAAACTTGTAGAATAGTAGTGCAATATCCTCTGTTTTCTGGACACATGCAACTATACATCACATAAACACACTTTCTCATGAAATACAAAACTAACAAGAGAGGAGAAATAATGTAGAATCTGCTTCCAAAACAGTGAAAAATTTTTAGATGTGTGAATAAGGAGAAACATGTTTTCACATAGTTTCCGAAGTCTTTAGACCAGCACTGAGGCTTGCAAATCGAATTATTATATTTTCATGATCCCAGAAGACAGTCACTGCCGTGAGGGCTTCCAATCTCATATGAATTCAATGTTTTTATACAGAAAATTGCAACGTCTATTCAGAGACTGCTCCAGTTCCTGCTGCTCTGCTTCTCAGCAATTGTGTTGAATGCAGTGGTGACTCCATGGTTCCTTATTGTTGCTGTTCCCATCTGTATAGTGTACTATGTGATGCAGCATTTCTATAGATGCTCATCAAGGTTAGTGACATCTATAGACCCGTGAGGCGCCATCAGTAATGCATCCAGCTTGTAGTGAATGGTCTTATTTGGTGTACTGGCTGTCTTAATTGAGGTCATTAGCAGTTGTCCTGATCTCTAGGTCAGTGATACACAATCTTTTTCTACTTCTTGCAACCTTTTGCATGGCGGAAATCCCAGCTCCTAACCTGGTGCAGGATTTAAATTAGACATGTAAAATAACACTGACTGTAAAACTAGTAATAACTAAACTATTTTCTTGTCATCAAAATTGAAGTTACTGTATTCAGAATAAGAAAAACATATATACAGAATACTCTCAGGATTTCCATTTGATGAACATTTACTGGTTGATGCCATGTCTACTAACAGCTGACTAACAGTTGACATTCCCAAAATTATTTGCTGCAGGGAAGGTTGTTAAGTCTGGTTGATACACCAAACAGCAGCCTCGACTTTCATATAAAAAATGCAAATATGCAAGCAGAATTGATGTTGATATATTGGGTTTTTGGACTTTATCCATCATCCTGGTTTTTAAGATAACTAATAAAAACACGACGTTTCGGAAACTGGATCTGTTTCCGTCCACAGTCCAGTGGACTGGTCCAGTGATTGAGGCTAGCTCTCTCTAACAGACCCAACAGATAGGTGATTTCCTTCACCTGAGGATGGAAACAGATCCAGTTTCCGAAACGTCGTGTTTTTATTAGTTATCTTAAAAACCAGGACGATGGATAAAGTCCAAAAACCAAATATATCAGTGTGTTATACACCATCGTCAGAATCCTATAGTAGAATTGATGTTGTTCTAATACTATCCATGAGATGGAAACATGAAGCATGAGCAATCTTCCGTATGCAGCGCACAACATTTTACGCTGACTTGTTAAAGTGACACATTGCTGAACTGTTCTTTGTCTGTGGGTCAGACAGTGTAGGCTTTATAAAGAATAATCACATTTGTATTTGTTATTACTAGTAGGAACATTAGAAGTACTCTTGCAGAAAAAACTGAATGGATTTTTTAAATATTTCCTCTATTATAAATTGTATTAGAAAAATTAAAATTTATATAAACAAAAAATTTAGAACATGTGTAAACAATTAAATAATAACAACTTACTAATGTGACTGTTCAATCTGCATGGAAGATGCCAGGCATTTGAAGTCTGGTGAGATGCTTGTTATTGTGAATTGAATAATTGACGTGAGATTCTCGTCTATTTAGCTAAGTCCTTTTTATAAATTTATTTAGCTCCACCAATGAGAAAGCTAGCCGGTCACGGTAGCCGAGCGGTCTAGGGCATGCACTGTCTTCGCTCACTCGGAAGCCGGGATCATGGGTTCAAATCCCACTCAGGGCATGGATGTTTGTGTGCGTTTTTCTGTGTTTGTCTACAGGTAGAGGCCTTGCGACGAGCTGATCACTCGCCCAAGGAGTCCTACCGACTGTGTAAGATCTAGAAAAGCCGAAGTGAACGGAGTTCATGGAGGTAGGCCTAGGCCTACTGGGGCTGTAGTGCCAAGGAAAAATGCGAAAGCTAAGTAATAAAATTAAGTGTTTCCGAACAAGCTTATACAAATGTTAAGCAAATCACCTTCTTTGAATTTAGAACCTAAGTTCATCACTTCAGTGTAGAATGGTTAGTTTGGGCTGTAAAATGATTCAGAATCTGATATATGGTGACAGTGCCAACCAAATGTCCTGCCCTTGATTAATAGTAGTATCAGTTTATCCTCTGTAAAAGGCCTATGGTAAATGTGCTAGGGAATTGCAACGGCTGGACAGCATCACAAGATCACCAATACTGTCACACTTCTCGGAGACGCTGTGCGGTCTCACCACTATCCGTGCCTTTGGTCAGCAGAGGCGCTTCAGAAGCCTCCTGTTCAGCAGGACTGATGCTCACACCAGCGCATTTCTCATTATGAACAGCAGCAACAGGTGGCTTGGCATTGCTCTGGTTTGTACCATTTGGCACTTCTTAATTCATTATTAATTACACAGTGTGAAAGTAAGTTATGTCTTATGTCTTCATGCACCTTCATCTTCCTTCTTTTGTCTAATTTTTCTTCTTCACCTTCATCATTTTCTTTATTTTCTATTTCTTCATCTCCTTCTCCTACTTGTTCACTGCATGTTGTGCCCCTCTTTAGCTATTGTCTATTTGATATTCTACTTTATTTTCTTCGTCATCTTCCTCCTTAGCTTCTATATTTTATTTCTTCTTGTGCTTTCCATATACATTGTATACCATAAAAAGAGGTAAAGCTATCCATGTAACAGGCTGTGAAGGTCCATAGGGTTGTGAGATGTCGAGGTTCCCACATTTTCCAGACAGTTGGCTCACAGATGGCATGAGGTTGTCAGCCTTAATACACTGCCTCCAATCTGGCCAGCACTTCTTCATGTCTGTATAAATGTATTCAATAGGAATATATGTATGTTGTTCTCACTACCTAACAGTTGGTGCCATTGCACAAATTGAAGTTTCATTGTGTAAATAGTACAAGTTACCTTGTTCTGCCCTTTTTTTTTTTTGTGTATGAGTTTACATTTATTTTATTTCTCTCTTTGNTGTAAATAAATACAGAATTTAATTATTATTGTTACCAATATATACATATGTATGTAAATAAATACAGAATTTAATTATTATTGTTACCAATATATACATATATATGTGAATAAATACAGAATTTAATTATTATTGTTACCAATATATACATATGTAATATATTATTATTTACTGATTTTGTCTTTGTTCTCATATGTTTACCTTTTTACACCTTATGTTTCATCATGCTATAAATCTAACCCAGTTCTTTTTTACATTGAATTATGGTCTTAACATTCCCAAATAAGCCTTGAAAATGTGGACAGTTCATCATACATTAAATATATCTCAAACAATGGATGTGTGAAATATAATTGCAGTATTATGGGTCAGCCAGTGTCACAGATTTTTAGAAAATCATTTTTGAAAGCCTCCTTACAACTGCTTGTAAGAGGCTTTCAGCAAGTGACTCACAGTCAATTCTGTATTGAACACCATCTTTCTCATGGCAGGACTACCTTGGTGGTGTGATAGTGTTCATGTCGGTAGTAGCAGCTCTGCTGACAGTGAAAACATATCCAGATGTCACCCCTTCACTTGTAGGACTGGCAGTGAACTACACATTGCTGGTACCTATCTACCTGAACTGGGTAGTGAAGTTCCTAGCAGACATGGAGATGTACATGGGTGCAGTGGAGAGGGTTCAGCAATATGCTCTTACCCCCACGGAGGACTATCGTCTACAAGGTACATCAGGACATTGCTGTTCACTGGAGACATCACAATGTATTTTATTCAGCTTCGTTCTCACAATATACAGGGTGTCCCAGGAGGAATGTGCCAAACTTCGGGAGGGTGTTCCTTATGTTAAAGTATGCCGATATAACCCAAAACACCTATGTCCAAAGTTGAACGGTTACGGAGATAATGGCCCGAGAAGTGTCAAACTTTGACCGGGGTTACACACTTGTTGATTACAAAATAGATATTAAAACTGGCAGGAATATGTGGATTCTGTAATGTTAATAATGTACGTAACATCAAACCAACTTGTGAGTGACGGAAAGCCATAAAATTGAAGTACAAAATACTCGCTCGCCATGTCATAATTGTCCTTAGGTTTCCAAGCAGTATACATAACACATGACTGGCGTGCGATGACGTAATATGGCTGCGCTATGAGCCGACCACATAACTCTTATTATACCTACATTCACGGATAATCTCTTTTGGAATTTCGTTTCCATTATCTCATGTGGATTATTATGG